TTATAAATATGATTAATGAACATATTCTCCCCAGTTGTGGCTGGTTTTTAGAAGATTTTAACCACAAATTTAAAAATTATTAACAAATTATGTGTTTTATTTTCATAGATATTTTTTATAAAAAAATTAAAAAGTCTAACCAGACTTTCTTTACATATTTTATTTGGTATTCATGTGATGCATTCATTTACAGCAAAATTTTTACAAGAAAGCATGTAATTTGGATGTAAATAATTTTTTTCATTTTCTTTGAAAAAATACAAAAAATAATATAAAATAATTAAGAGCTAATGTCGACCTTTCACTGCTGAAACCATTGTTTAAAAAGGTTGACTCAGAGATCTATAAAATAAAAAGTTGGTGTGGCATTCCTCCTTAATGATTGAAAATTAAATTATAAGGAATGAATTTAATAGCAACCCAAACTATACTGCTATAACTATACTGTCCCAACCCAGATTATTCAGTATAATTTGGGTTGCTATTTAATTTAGTCCTCAAATATTAAAAATGCCTCATTTTGTTGATATTTAATATCAATTTTTAATAAAATGCAGTGGGGAATAAGCTACAGCCACAAGGTAAAGGAGTTCTCGCACCTATATTGATGTAATCGAAAATGCTGGTGGTTCATATGCTTTTACAGGTTAATGAATTTGTATAGCCAATAAATAGTGTCAAGAATAGCTTGGTTATATTGACGTTCAATGTAGGCTTTTATTTTACAAATTAATTAACTGATGCATTTCCTCGTAGCGAGAAATGACCTTGACACACATTCTTGATTGATAGTCCCATATTTTTATGCCCTTTATTTAGGTAAATACTAGTTCTTGGAATGCTTTCGGATAAAAGAAAAAAAGACCATATATATCGACTTATCATAAGTTGAACATAGAACAAGATATAGATACGTTTTACGAGACAGAAAAAAAATATAATATTATAAAGTTACCTGACATAATAAAATTGAATTTCAGTAAACATGCAAATAAAAATTTTATTTCTCGGTCTTTCTTCCAGTAACATAAAACAGAACGATTCATATTTCTGAACTAAAACAACCATTTCAATTACAAACTGATCTTTTGAGATCAATAAGTCAGAATTTCTCTCTCTCTCTCTCTCTCTCTCTCTCTCTCTCTCTCTCTCTCTCCACTCTCTCTCTCTCTCTCTCTCTCTCTCTCTCTCTCTCTCTCTCTCTCTCTCTCTCTCTCTCTCTCTCTCTCTCTCTCTCTCTCTCTCTACAAAATATTACATCGTATTTCCAAATCATATAATCTATAACAGTATTATAATACTGTTAACAATGTGAACTAAAAAGATTGGATGCCTACAAAAGAAGATCAATCCTCCAATATTATTCATTCTTAACGAAAATTAAAAACAAAATCATAATTCTTACACTTTGAAATTGAGTATAGAAATAACAAGCACTATGCCAACTAAAACACCATTCAAACAAAGGAAATTCAAAGCAAATCAAACACGGACCTCTAAAACATCAGAGGTGGAATCAGGTGCCATGTGAGGGTAAGCATCCCCTTCTGACCTATCAGTAACAGGCTTGTGGATCCTGTCATGATCGTAGAAAATGGAAAAATTCATTGAATATTTAGTATGTAAAAATGACAAACAATATAATAGAAGGACGTCAGTCAGCATTTGAGTTTATGATGGATGGTATTTGTATTGACCATAAGTTTCCGACAAATTATTTAAAGACCTGGCCTTCATAATATAAATTGATATTCTCAATCAGAAACAAAAGCATTTTTTTTTATTTAAACCAGAACTTATGCGTGATAAATTCGTTAAAATATTGAATTATTCAGAGCGAGGGGTTGTCCTCACATTTGACACACTTAGTTTATATTTCATGCCAAATGGTGCTTATGTTCAAAAGATATTTTGAAACTTTTGATCACCCATTATATACAACACACACAAAAAAAACTAACATGCCTTCAGGGAAAACCTCGTAAATGCAAAAATAATGTGTTGATATGTTAGAATTACCTTGGTTTCATAATTATAGTGAAATTTGCAACATTTATTCAAAACTTAGAATATAAGAGTTACTCATAAAATATAGCAGCCTCCTCCAGGGATCTCTTTATAAGAATAGAATGTCATCATTAAAATTTCAAGCCGTGAAAACGATTAAAGTTTTCAGATTGTTATTCAATGGGTCATACAAAGTAGGACATTTGATTTCGCGGAATCGTTACATTATAGATTATAACTACAGAAACTACATGCACCAAAAAAATATACACAGCAAAGTTAAGGAGGGAAATAATTCAGATAAATGAGCTGTAAATATGCATGGATAAACCTTTTTAATTTGTGTGGATCTATTTATCAAATAAACATGGTTTTTGTTAAGAAGCGTTTTGTTTTATAATATAACGTTATTATTGACGTCCCAATGTAGACAATTATTTTACATATTAATTAAGTGATGCATTTTCTCTTAGCATTAAATGTCGTTGACATACATTCTTGATAGATGGTCCTATATTTTTATATCCTTTATTCAAGTATATTCCAGTTCTTGGAATGCTTTTGGATAAAAAGAAAAAGACCGTATATATCGACTTGTCATAAATTGAACATAGAACATGATAGAAAATATTTTTTAAATAAAGTTTTCTGATATAGAAAATTTTAATTTAAGTAAATATGCAAATAAAAATTTTATTTCTCGGTCTTTATTCTGGTAACATAAAACTGAACGATTTATTTTTCTTAGCTAAAACAACCATTTCAATTACAAACTGATCTTTTGAGATCAATAATTTATAATTTCTATTTCTATTTAGATAATACTTTTGACTATGTTTTTTTGCACACTTAATCATTTGTGTGTATCAATATACCGAATAAACGAGTTAAATTGGTTTTTTGAAAGATGCGTTTTGTTTTACATGTTTTATGAGGTAACTACATACGTCGATTTTCAAAATAATAAGTATAAAAAGAATTTCATCACCAGTTACTCGGGCATAGTTTTGTTTCCGCAAAAGAATTGTTCTAATTCAGAAGTAGGAGAATTGTAATCTTCCAATAGGAGCACTGTTCTGTTTCAGGAAAAGCAATGTACAGTTATCGATTGAATGCAAACACCTCGCATAAGGACCACTGTTCTCGGTTCAGTAGGAGATCGGGCTCGGGATACTAGGTAGATACAAACACTTCACATAAGGACCAGGGTTCCCGGTTCTTCCCACTTGCCAGGTAGATTGTTACTTCTCTGCAGCTAATGGGATTCGCACATGCACAATAGTACTTGCAGACAGAAAGTCCTGATATTGTTACTTCACTGAGCAGCGAACAAAACTGCGTTGGTTGTCCCAGAACGCGATAGGAGACCTACACTTGTTAAACAAAAATTAAAATGGCGTTCTTATTCCGTTGAAAACACTAAGAATTTGTCAAACAAATGATAATAAAAGTAAGATTTAGATTTGAATTCATATTTTTAAAAAAGAATATAAAATTTGAAAGCTTTGCTGTACAGTGCTTAAGTTACAGACAGTACTTCATGCATAAAATCTTGCCTGACTCATTCTCTCTATGGATTGTCTATCACATGATAGTCCGTTTCCTGTTATGGTAATGTCATATGGGATAGCCTTAATCCCAAAGGTTTCAGGTACGGATATCCAGACCAGGAAGAAGGGCGTTTGGTCATCCTGGAGGGGTAGCTGAAAGCAGGTCATGTTGTCTCCGTCTAACGCTCTTGTCATCTTTAGCTTCATGTCCCCAGATTGGTCATTAAATATATTAATATGATTGACACCTGCAATAAAAATCTGAGTCCATTATTTATACACTGAATTGACGACGGATTTTTCATACTGTTTCGACTGAAAAAACATTTGGTCGTGATAATTAAGGCAAAGTTTAATCTTCTATAATGTTTCTTCCTCTATGCATGGCATAGTTTAATCTTCTATGTATGACACCTGATCCCATCTCTAGTCATTTGGAAGTCCGTGTTTGTTCTGATTCAAATTTGTGCTGTTTGATATGGACTTCTGAGCTTGAATACATAGAGGATATTTAATGTTTTGTACAATGTTGTTGAATATGGAATACATTTCGCGAGTGGGACAGGTTTTTTTTTGATATTTTCACGAGTGCGAAGCACGAGTGAAAATATAAAAAGAAATCTTGTCTCATGAGTCGCTATTTGTCTTTTTGTAGGCCTTATATAAGCTCTATATATAGTCATAGGTTACATGATGTCATAGTTGAGCGGTTGAGACGTCATAGCTAAATGATGCGAGATGGAAAACATTGTAAACATAGATTTTAGCAACATGTATTGGGGTAAATGGCAGTATTATTATCTGCCAGAATGGTTTATTTACTCTCTCTCTCTCTCTCTCTCTCTCTCTATATATATATATATATATATATATATTATAACAGTCGAAGGAATATTTTTACAACTCTTCGTTATGGGAAGGTAAATCTGTGACAGGATATCACACTTTTATGCAATGGATAAATTACAGTATTTCACTGTTGAAAATGTAATCATCTATTTATCATTTATTAAACGATAACATAATTTCATTGCTCTACCTTTGCACTGTACGCTGGACAAGACTGGACTTCCGTCTAAAATGAGATACAGGTGAGTCTTTAAATCATTTTTAAATGTTAATTGTTCTTGTCTAACAGTGTTTTGTTTCATTTTTTCTCTTAAGCTTATTGCTATGTAAACATTAAAATTGAGTTCCATGCCATTATGATGAGTTTGATATACAAAGAAAGCTTATACTCAGAGTGAATGATTAACAATTTAATTCTGCATTTTTAATTTTCGAATAAATCCAATAACGAGTTAAGAAGTATAATTTTCTGAAACAAGAGCATAAGATAATTGTAGATTTATCAGATTAAAATTTTCATTTGATTAATGTGTAGACTTAATTTCAGGTTCTGTAACAGCTATACTACTTAATAGTAATTGAAAGGCTACTTGGTTAAAATATTATACCTTTACTTTGCTCGGTAGTAGATTTAGTTGGTATATAAGTAACATCTTTACTTGTCACAGTAGAGGGGTTAGTCGGTGGATATGTTACATCTATAATTGACTCAGTAGAGGGGTTAGTCGGTGGATATGTTACATCTATACTTGTCTTAGTAGAGGGGTTAGTTAGTGGATATGATACATCTATACTTGAAGCAGTAGAGGGGTTAGTCGGTGGATATGTTACATCTATACTTGTCTCAGTAGAGGGGTTAGTTGGTGGATATGATACATCTATACTTGAGGCAGTAGAGGGGTTAGTCGGTGGATATGTTACATCTATGCTTGTCTCAGTAGAGGGGTTAGTCGGTGGATATGTTTCATCTTTACTTGTCTCAGTAGAGGGGTTATTCGGTGGATATGATATATCTTTACTTGACGCAGTTGTAGAAACTCTGGTAGATGCTATGTTGTGAGTACTGAATGTTACTTCCGGTGAAGTTTCACTTGCTGCTGCATTAAAAGTTGTGATTGCAACCGAAGATGTTATAACCGTTGGCGTTTCTGTAAAAATATTATAATTTGTGTATATAAATACTGCCCGTAGTTGAGTGTAACGCTGGAAATTATCACTCCAACAAGAAAACAATGTTCAACTGAGGCACATACCAAAACAATATGCAGAATTACATAAATCCACTGGCTTTAATTTGTAGACGAGGAACTCCCCACAGTTCTTCACTTCAATGTTGTAACTTCTGTCACAGTTAGCGCTAAATCCAACCTGACAGGCAGATAGCAATCCAGTTTGTCCTTCACTGGGTGGCTGATCTTATATAACAAGTAATATTTTACTTCATGCATTCATGATGCACGATGATATAAGGAATAATTGTGAGAAATTGTGCCATTATTGTTCAATTAGGACATTTTTTTAAATCTTGTGCAATTATTATGAATGTAAAAAAGGTTAAACATAAAGATACAATTTTTTTAACTTAGTTGCTGACTGACATTTTTTCATACTAATCGTTAGGCCATTATATACACGCTGAATTCATGATGGATTTTTTTTCATTATTTTCCGATCATGACAAGGAGAAAACGACGGGTGTGGCCGATTGGAAGAGGATGTTTCACCTTTGATGTTTTGGAAGTCCGTATTTGCTCTGCTTCTATTTGTTTTTATTTGACTTTTGAACTTGGATACTTTTTGTTATGTCCATATAGTTTATTAGTGTACTGAAAGCGTTACTCTTGTTAAAGATTAATTGAAAAGGGACATTTTTAATTAAATGAAAGTAGTGCAATATATGTGCATCCTTTCACTGCCATTTAGTATGCATTTTTCAAATATATATTCGCTTTGTAAATACTAGTTAGTACATGTGTTTAGATATATGAATTCTAACACCTACCATTTAACCAGACTGGATACAGTGTGCCACAATATGTAAGAGCAGGAGGAGATGTAGACATATTGTATCCCCTCGCCCCGTACCAACCCTCTAGGATATACCGGTCACAGATCGGCGATGAATCCATAACGTACAGAGGGCTTCGCTTCTCCAAGGAAGATGGAGTGCCGTGGTTTCCATCTAAACAGGGGTCCTGCGCCTGTATATCTATTTTTAGAAATCAGTAAAAATAACTCCATTTTGATATAGAGAAATAAAGCAATTATAGAACATGTTTGCAATAAATGGTCTTGTTTTGAGAACCTTCCTTTAACAGGCATTGTACATGTACCCTATATAGACCATATTTCGAGGAATTATTCATCTAAGGATGCCTAAAACTGGTTTTGCTTTGAAAATCAATTGACAAATATTTGGAGTAAAAAGAATTAGATAAGAAAAAAATATCGATGTGCATAGAAAAATTTGAGGCAAGTATAGAAGAAATCTTTCATTTCTAAAACTATGTCAATCAAATTATGATTAAGAAAAAATTCAGACGTAACTTATAAACGAACGATTAATTTATGTTTGCTTATGAATAGAAATTAACAATAAATTTACCATGAATAGTTAATAAGATAATCAACAGTATCCTTCTGTTTTCTTTCAGGTAATGCTGCATCCCTAAAAGAGACAAAAAAGGGGAGATCTTGAAAAGATAATTCATATCAGAGATAAATATAAGTATGATATATAGGTCCATTATTACTACAAATCAGGAGCAGAACAAATTCGGACCTCTAAACAGCAAGGGTGTGATGATGTGTAATGGAGGAGAGAGCGTCCCCTGTCGATGGGTTACACCTTGTCCTGACTGGGAAATAATGGTAAAAATGGGTCAACAATTCATTGGGTAAGGAATAGCTCAACAATTACTATGAAAAACGTCAATCAGCATCTGACTTTATGAAAAATTGTAAGAATATTAGAGATTAAGCATATCCAAGTTCCGCTCCTTATTTTCAAATGACAAACCAAAATTTATATCCTTGAATCATAAGTATTTTGTAGTAGAGTCGCATAACCGTTTACCTAATCTGGAACATTTTAGCTGCTTTTTATTTATTTTACATTCTTACTGTTACTTACAAAAGTGCTCAAAAGAAAAGAATTCACATAAAATATAAATATGCATCACTCAACAAAATTGTGTTATGTGTTTGCTAATGCAAGCACAAAGAACCGTTTCTATATTATATTTCAACCTCATTTAAAAGGGAACGTCTATCGTCAATAAAATAATCATGTTAGCAAATGCAATCTATAAATCGAATGCTGTCTGACGCTTGTTTTACAAAATGTTCATTGTATCGACCATATAATTTAAGAAAATCATAAAATTTAAGATTTCAGCAATACTGTTCATAGTCTTGTTTCATAAACATGTTTGTCAAAAGATTACAACCTTTTAGAAACTGTTTATATGCACTTTCCTATCGAATTAATTTGGATGAAGGTTATGGAGATAACGAACAGTATTCAATATCAAAGTCCACAGAAACAATAAATGACAAGTGCAGATCAAACAAGGACCTCCACAACATCAGAGGAAGGATCAGGTGCCATGGAGGAGTGAGCATCCCTTGCCAACCGGGCACACTCTCCTTGTATTCCTTGTCATGATTGGAAAAATCCGCTGTTGATTCAGTGTTTAAATCATAGACTAACAATCTATAAGATCCATCAACAGGTATGTAGGGTGCAGTATTGCAAGATAAGGGAAGCTGACAATTGAAAAATTAAAGTTTCCATGTTTATTATTAAATTTGATCCTACCTCTCTCTATTTTAGAAGTCTCTGTGTGCCATTTTCCTTACCCCTATTGTTACCTTTAAATTTCATGAAATGGCAAATGTGTAACACATCTCATTCATTTAGATTCTCCCATCTGTTTAAATTTCAATGCATAAATTTAGAACTTTTTGAGTATTTAACAGTTTTAAAGAGCATGTTTGATAATTTTCAAACATATTTTGCAGAAATCAATAGACTGAATAAACTTGTTTAGCAACAAATGCCACTGAAATGAAATATTCAGAATAAATGTATTTTTGGTCAATATCTGCCTATCAACCAGTGATTGATTTTCAATAAAGACTCATTTTGTTGAAAATATAATTACATTTCATTTTATTTTGGCTTTTAATTCTATGACCTCAAAAGCAAAATAATGATTTTCTCTTCTCATTAAAAACGTATCTCGTATCATATTTAATAGTATGATTGACTTACATATATTAGATATTGTTCAATTTCTTATAGAAAGTTGTCCTTATAACTTCTTCACCTGCTTAAGATAAAATGTACCAAAGTTTTTCAATATCATTATTTTGGTAACATTTTATGATATCAAATTTTTATGAGAAGTTCCTTGGAATGGTTAAGCATTCACATAAGATTTTCACCACACCTAGACTGTATTGTTGCAGAGTACGTTTGGCATAAAGGACGTTCTTCGTACAAATTGTTATTCCATTATTTACATACTAAATCATCGACGGTTTTTCTTCTTTTTTTTATATCATGACAGGGTGCACTCGGCTGGTGTGACCGATGGGCAGGGGATGCTCACTCCTCCAGGGCACCAGATCCCACCTCTGATGTTTTGGTCGTCCGTGTTTGTTCTACTCCTAATTTGTACTGTTTAATGGAGTTTTTATCTTTAATATTGGTCATTATATCCTTTTATTCTTTACTCACTAGTGTCGATTTTCACTGCATTATATATGATAAAATGCTCATGTGGGCATTTCATATCACAAAATTTATTTGTTTTGAATCCTACAATGTTACTGAGGCATCATTAATAACTAATTATAAAAAAAAGAATTTTGAGAAGTCAAACCTATCATTGCATTTGTTAAAAAAATCAATAACCTTCTATCCATTTCCTATTGTAAACATTATGTTTTTAACTTGATCATTCCACTGTTTATTTTGAATTGATATAGAAATGTTCACAGAACAGGAAAAAAAAAATATAGCGAATTCTCTTTTCTGAACTCGATCCTGCATCTTGGGATGTAAATATATTTTTCATTTATTCTTGAGACATTTTTAATTTTTTTAAAACGTTTAACTCGCTCGATTTTCGTTATCATTTATTTTCTTGATTCAACTAGAGTACATTCCATCTTGTCGTCTTAATGTTTTACACACAATGACTCGCTTTCATTTTATTATATTATGATGCAGCATCATGTAACGTTTGCAGAAAAAATACACTGAATTTTTATCGTATTCTTCTGACATAAGGAAAACCGTTTTATTTTCCTTGTCATAGAGGCATTTCATTCAACAAATTGTAATATGTTATAAACAGTCATTAAGTTATAGGTACTGTGAGGAATGAGCTCACTAAATGATACCCCCGCCTCTCATAGAATTATAAAGGCAGTGTTAAAGTTTTGCTGTGGGATATCAAAAATATGTGTCGGATCAAAAAGTTAAATAGAAGGTGCATAATGGCAATATGTAATAAATATTCAGTGAAAGTTTCATCTAATTTCATTCAGTGGTATGAGAGGAGTTATGGAAAAAAAGATGGGTACCCCAAAACGTAACGGATAGACGGACAGATGGAGGGACATAACAATTACTATATACATTTAGTATCAAAAGAAAATCAAGTTGTTTCTGACTTAATTTCTAACATTTCATCATACCTGTGGGTTACATTAAAGGATATGGAGATAACAAACAATATTCATATCAAAGTCCATGTGAGTGTCATTGGGATATGACATGAAGTCGGTCGCGTGATCAAATTCTATAACGCCCGATTTCATGACCTACCCCAATGAAACTCTAAAAAATTATATTTTATTTCTTATATTTATATTTCACTTTTTTTCCGGTTACAATGAAAAATAAGCGCTATTTGGACTTGTTACTGAAATGCAATATAACGCACGTGTACGTCGTCATATGACGTCACAGTCAAGACTTTCCAATTGTCTCGTGCGATTTTCCCTACTGCATCTCACTGAAAACTGAATGTCAATTTAATTCATATTGTCATATAAGGAAAGACATTGGTAAATGTAAATATTGACTTTTGAGCACGAATGCTGTTCGTTATCTCCATATTGGGGTATTTCATCACATTATTTTTTTTTTCATTTTACATGTATATTGGTAAAAAGACTTAAATTTTCGATGGGGAAATTTTCATGGTTTGAGGAAAATATATTGGGAAATGGGGATTTGATTTCGTTGTTGAAGAATTGTTCAGTTCTTACATATGTGTAAAATTGCATTTCGTGGTGGACATACATTTTTGGGTCTCATCATACCTTGAAAACCACGAAATCCCCCTCCCCCGACGAAAATTAGTAATAGCACAGTAACATAGAATGTCACACATATTAAAAAGCCTACTGATAGGAAAAACAAACTGACATCATCAAGTTGTTACTTGATACAGGTATATTCTAGCATTTTTTATCGTACATTGGGATAAAGAAAATCAAAATCTCTCTGTCTCAAAGTCTTAACATTTTGTCAAACACAAAAAAAACATGCTTATCATCTTGCCATTTTTTGGCCATTTCTTTTGATTTTATCATTTTATCTTTTGTGTTTCAAAGGACGCTCGTGAGTTTAAATAAGGGCTGCGACTCACCTAAGAAGCTAATTGATGGAGCGCTTTCTTCAAGTTTGGATGATTTTGCATATAATCCCCGACAGTGACTGACCAAAGTCTATAAAATTGAGGAAGCAACTGCTCTTAAAGTGAAAGCTGTGGATGAGACCTTAAAGCCCGAGGCCCCGTGTCACGACAGACATGGCATGATTAAGAACCCTCAATCACTGCTCAATTGCCATGAGTACCGAGTAAAGATAAAAATTTGAGGCACATGGTGATAAATTATCGAACGGGACCAAAAACTATATCTGATCTCTCTACGACAATGATTCAATCAGCTGAAATATTCAGCAAACATTTTTCATTTGCCTTCTTTAAAATTTTGGAATTAAAAATATTGATAGACGTCGAAATGGTTTAAAAATTGGACATAGAAATATTTCAAATGGGATTCTGAAAATTTATCCCTGATAAGATTTGACTGACATTTCTCCCATCTCAACCAGAAAACAGACACAGAAAATCTAGACTGAAAAAGCTCATATTAACCTTACCTGCAAGTCTTCCTTACATTCGTGTCAATAGTGTCAGTGGAAGCCTCGTTCATACTGTTCCTATCTGGAAAGTCCTCGCTATTGTCGAGTTAAAATTACACAGAAAAAAGGGGATTGCATAATTTATGAAACATAACCAGTAAAACCATATTTATCAGTAAGCTGAATAACATATACATTATAGAATTTATACACATTACAAGGGGCATTTTTGCAAACCCCGAAAAAAAACCCCCAAAATTTGATTGTTTAATAGATAAATCATTGATACATGTGAAAGAAAGATATGGAGATAACGAACAGTATTCAACATCAAAGTCCATAAAACAATACAAAATATGAGCAGAACAAACACGGACCTCCGAGACATCAGAGGTGGGCTCAGGTGCCATGGAGGAGTGAGCATCCTATGCTGACCGGTCACACCCGCCGTGTGCTTCTTGTCATGATCAGGAATTAGCAGAAAAAATCCGTCGTAACTCAGTGTATAAATAATGGACTAGCAATTAATATGAAAAACGTAAGTCAGCATTTGACTCAATGACTATCTCTTTTATTTTTAGTTGTATGTTTCACTCTGCAATGTTTCAGATATACAGCTCAACAAACTTTTTAAACTCACATGGTTTTTTGCACAAATTAAGGTCACATTGTTATAATGCAAAAAGTGTCTAATGTGACAACAAAATATATTTTAAAAATGATTTATAACTTAATTTTGATCATATCCAACTACTTTTAACATAATTCACACATAATAATTGGTAGAATTTTTATATGCTCTTAATTGATATCTTATAAGAGTTTCTAAATGTTTTTTTTTTCACGTCTCTCGTCAAATGCAACCGTTTTTGTATCCGTTCATTTTAAAGCATACTTTTGCCATGCCTTAATACAGAAAGAGTGCAGTTCATGTAACTTCTGTATTTTCTGAACATAAATATAACACTAAGGCACAAGATGCTAGAAGTACTTCTCATCTGTTTGACTGCTTCCCATGTTAAAAGATGGCATTTTTCAGGTTAACTTCCTGAAATCCATCATCATGAAAGATACCTTCCAACGCAAAATTTAAAAGTTTCAAACCGTAAATGTAAAAGAATTCTCTATTCGATATTTACAATTTACTTTGTTAAATGATAAACAATACATTATTATTCTATCCTTTTACACATTTTCTCTATGCAGTTTTGTCATTTTTCGGCGCTGAATTTCGACAACACCAAGACAAGTAGTGAAAATGTGCAAAGTACCACGAAAAATATTAATCTTTAAGAAGTTAATTTGAACATTTCAACCAAATAGTATCAAAGAAAGTTCCATTAATTAAGTTGTAAAAACCTATGATAGAATCATACAAATATAACATCATACAATTTATAAACAAATTTCCTTTTAAAACATTGACTTTTAAAATAAAAGATAATTAATTCAAAGTATGTGCACCTTTAACATCAAACAATTTAATAGTATAAGGGTTATGTCTCCTACTGAAACTGAATAATCTTAAGCTTTATTGCAAGAAAAATGTGACTTTATTTTGTGCGAAAAACCATGTGAGTTTAAAAGGTTTGTTGAGCTGTATATGTATAACAAATAAAATTGTGCATATTAACAATAAAAATTTAAATATGGAAAAATTCATTTAAAAATCAGACACTTCATATTTAAACATTGATTTTTTATTTTTTGATATTGTCGGTCCTATACCACCCCAGGATGTGCCGATAAATTGAATACCGCGCGTTAGCGCCTTTCAGAACTCTTGTGCTTAATAGACGCAAGAGCCGTTTGTGACGTTGGAAAGCTTTAAAATACACAAATAAGCATTGTGAGGAAAGAAAATGACTATTAATTTTTGACACACAGATGTTGTATTTTTTCGTTAATTCAAAAAGGTAATTATTTTATTCAAGTGGGTCAAAACAATATATACCGCACTTGAAGGTGTTCATAGAGTATTGAAAATAATATAATTCCTATTGTATTTCTACCGCGAAGTGACAAGGATCGCATGTGTTATCTTTAAGCATTGAATTCATACGTTAGCGCGGTATGATGATTTGTTGGCACAGCCAGATGTGTTAAAGGACCGAAGACATCCAAAATATGAAGTCATTGCTTATATTTATACTGTCTAAATTTCTTTCTTCATAATTGCTTTTTCCTTAATCTTTAATGTGAATTTAGCACCTTTCTAAACTAGAGTGGTTAATAGACGTAAGAGTCGTTTATGACGTTAATAGAGATTTGAGAAATGGGGAAAGGGAGGAGAAAGTAAAATAGTAATTAGGGGAAGTGAGGGGAAAGGAGTGAAAGGAAAATGACGTGTTTGTAAGGTGTATATGCCATAAAATGATGTCAAGAATAGCTTGGTTATATTGACGTCCCAATGTAGACTTTTATTTTACATATTAATTATAACTGATGCATTAATTTTCTAGAAGCGTATAATGCCCTTGACAAACACTCTTGATAGATAGTCCCATATTTTTATGCCCTTTATTTATGTAAATACCAGCTCTTGGAATGCTTTCGGATAAAAAGTCAAATATATATACGTGATACATATTTTTTTTATTAACATCAGATCTAGCGCTAAATGAATAAGAATAAATAAAGACTGTCTCAGAGCTAGGGATTGTCCACACCTTGGACACCCTTAGTTTTTTTTTCATTCCGAATTGTGGTTATGTACAAGAGATATTGTGAAACTTTTGATAACCCATTATACACAAGACACATAAAAACTATCATGCCTTAAGAGAGAGTTAACTGGTAAATGCAAAAATAATGTGTACATGTGTTACAATTGCTTTGGGTTCATGATCTGAGTGAAAATAACAACATTCATTCAATACTTAAAAACTAGTGCAGCCTCCGCCAATGCATTTTTTTTTATAAACATAGAATGTCATCATGTAAAATTAAGCCATAAAAATAACAGTAGTATACAAACCGTTACTCAACAATGATCATGTTGATAAAAAGCAGAATTTTCTCTTTTCTATATTCGTTGCATTAAAGATAATTATGGCAGAAACTGCATGTAGTAACAAAAATGTGTACAACCAAGTTAAAGAGGAAAATGATTCAGATAGATAAGCCGTAAAATTTACCTAATAAACATTGAGGTTTTTTAAAAGACACGTATTGTTTTATAGTATAACTACATCGTCGATTGTCAAAATAAAAAAAAATAATTTTCAGCACCAGTAGCAGGGACATTGGTTTTTTTTCAGTAGAAGAATTGTTCTCATTTAGAAGTAGGAGATTTGTTTTCTTCTAATAGGAGCATCGTTCTGTTATAGTAAAAGAAATGTTCAGTTAGCGATTGGATGCAAACACTTCACATAAGGACCAGGGTTCCCGGTTCAGTAGGAGATCGGGCTCGGGATACTAGGTAGATACAAACACTTCACATAAGGACCAGGGTTCCCGGTTCAGTAGGAGATCGGGCTCGGGATACTAGGTAGATACAAACACTTCACATAAGGACCAGGGTTTCCGGTTCAGTAGGAGATCGGGCTCGGGATACTAGGTAGACACAAACACTTCACATAAGGACCAGGGTTCGCGGTTCTTACCACTTGCCAGGTAGATGGTTAGTTCTCTGCAGCTAATGGGATTAGGACATGCACAATAGTACTTGCAGACAGAAAGTCCTGCTATTGTAACATCACTGAGCAGCGAACAAAACTGTGTTGGTTGTCCCACAACGCGATAGAAGACCTACATTTGTGAAAAAAAATTTCAACGTTCTAATTCTGTTGATAACATTAAAAATCCATCAAAGAATTACTATACTAGTTTGGCGTAATTTATTTTCAAGCATATTTAAAGTTAGATTTGAAATACCATTTTTACAAATAATTAAAAAATGAAAGCTTTGCTTTAGGATGCCCGAGTTACAGCAAGTTTTATAATACAAGATTAAGCTTTCGCAGTATTGTATTCCTAAAATCTTGCCTGACTCATCCTCGCGATGGAGTGCCTATCACATGACAGTCCATTTCCTGTTATGGTGATTTCATATGGAATAGCCTTAATCCCAAAGGTTTCAGATACGGATATCCGGACCAGGAAGAAGGGGGTTTGTTCATCCTGTAGGGGTAGCTGAAAGCAGGTCATGTTGTCTCCGTCTAACGCCCTTGTCATCTCTAGCTTTATGTCCCAAGAGTGGTCATTAAATACGTCAATGTGATCCACATCTGAAAAGTATTCCGACACAAAAATTTGGTCGTAATAATTAAGACAAAGACATTTTACGTTTTCTCCTATACGCAGGGCACCTGATCCCACTAAAATTCTGATGTTTAGAGGTCTGTGTTTGCTTTCCTCCTGATTTGTGTTTTTAAATATGGACTTCTGAACAACATTACTGTTCGTAATCTCCATATATTTAATCAATAAAAAGATAACACAATATCAATGCTTTACCTCTGCACTGGACACTGGACAAGATTGGACTTCCAGCTAAAATCAGAAACAGGCGTGACCTTGAATCATGTATAAATGTTAATTGTTCTTGGCATATAGTATTTTGTCAAGTTTTTTTCTGAAACTGATTGCAATATAAACATTAAAATAATTTTCCATGTCATTATGATGAGTTGGATATACAAAAAAGTTTAACTCCGAGTTTAATATATATATATATATATTATAGTTTAATTTATATTATATATTAAATTTAATATAAAAAAATTCTCAATAACACGTTTAGACACATAATTTGCTGGCAAAAAGAGCATACGAAATGTGTCGATTTATCACAGTAAAATATTTCATCTTTATTTAATCAATGTATAGACTTGATTTCCGGTACTGTAACATCTATACTACTTAATAGTAATTGAAAGGCTACTTGTTCAAAATATCATACCTTTACTTCGCTGCGTAGCAGGGTTAGTTGGTAGATATGATACATCTTTACTTGTCTCAGTAGTGGGGTTAGTTGGTTGATATGTTACATCTTTACTTGTCTCAGTAGTGGGGTTAGTTGGTGGATACGATACATCTTTACTTGTCTCAGAAGAGGCGTAAGTAGGTGGATATGATTCATCTTTACTTGGCTCAGTAGAGGGGTAAGTAGGTGGATATGATTCATCTGTACTTAGCTCAGTAGAGGGGTTAGTTGGGGGATATGATTCATCTTTATTTGTCTCAGTAGAGGGATTAGTTGGTGGATATGATACATCTATACTTGAGTCAGTAGTGGGGTTAGTTGGTGGATATGTTACATCTATACTTGAGTCAGTAGTGGGGTTAGTTGGTGGATATGATACATCTATACTTGAGTCAGAAGTGGGGTTAGTTGGTGGATATGTTACATCTATACTTGACTCAGTAGAGGGGTTAGTCGGTGGATATGTTACATCTACACTTGTCTCAGTAGAGGGGTTAGTTGGTGGATATGATACATCTTTACTTGTTTCAGTAGAAGGGTTAGTTTGGGGATATGATTCATCTTTACTTGTCTCAGTAGAGGGGTTAGTAGGTGGATATGTTACATCTATAATTGACTCAGTAGAGGGGTTAGTAGGTGGATATGTTACATCTACACTTGTCTCAGTAGAGGGGTTAGTTGGTGGATATGTAACATCTATAATTGAGTCAGTAGAGGGGTTAGTTGGGGGATATGATTCATCCTTACTTGTTTCAGTAGGGGGGTTAGTTGGGAGATATCTGATATCTATACTTGTCTCAGTAGAGAGGTTTGTTGGTGGATATGTAACATCTATAATTGAGTCAGTAGAGGGGTTAGTTGGGGGATATGTTACATCTATACTTGTCTCAGTAGAGGGGTTAGTAGTTGGATATGTTACATCTATACTTGTCTCAGTAGTGGGGTTAGTTGGTGGATATGATTCATCCTTAATTGTTTCAGTAGAGGGGTTAGTCGGGGGATATGTTACATCTCCACTTGTCTCAGTAGAGGGGTTAGTTGGTGGATATGATACATCTTTACTTGGCTCAGTAGAGGGGTTAGTAGTTGGATATGTTACATCTATACTTGTCTCAGTAGTGGGGTTAGTTGGTTCTAATGTTTCATCTATACTTGGATCAGTAGAGGGGTTAGTTGATGGATATGTTACATCTATACTTGTCTCAGTAGAGGGGTTTGTTGGTGGATATGTTACATCTTTACTTGTCTCAGTAGAGGGGTTAGTCGGTGGATATGATACATCTTTACTTGTCTCAGTAGAGGGGTTAGTCGGTGGATATGATACATCTATACTTGAGTCAGTAGAGGGGTTAGTCGGTGGATATGTTACATCTTTACTTGTCTCAGTAGAGGGGTTAGTCGGTGGATATGCTACATCTTTACTTGTCTCAGTAGAGGGGTTAGTTGGTGGATATGTTACTTCTTTACTTGACTCATTGGTAGAATCAATGATGGAGACTGTGTTTTGAGCACTGAATGTTATTTCCGGTGATGTTTCACCTGCTGCTGCATACGAAGTTGTGATTGCATCCAAAGGTGTTATAAATGTTGTTGTTTCTGGAAAAAAAAATCAGTATCTGCACTTAGTTGGAGCTTTTTCGGTAAGACTAATTATATTTCTAAAACAATATATTGTAATGTTATTTTATTTCTTTTCTCTCTCTTTATAAATAATTGATCGACACATGTAGCCCTTACCTTAGATCAGCATAATCCATATACCAGTTAATATTGACACAGTTCTACGATTTGTATGAATGAAAGAAAATCTTACC